AGCTCACCTGGGTCTTCCAGGATCACTGCTCCGCTACCACTGAAAGAGTGACTAGGGCGTACACGGTAGAGGTGCAGACCGCTAGTGTCTTTTACTCACGCAGAGTCTTATCCTATATCTCTTTGAGCCTTGAAGCAGTCAAGCATGGACACACTATATCAGCTGTTGGAGTGGAACCCTGTACAGGTAGGCTCTACTTTTCAGGGGGGGGGTCTGTATTGAAAAATCAATTCCAAGGGGGCGGGGGGGAGTCTGTATTGCCAAATCAATTCGAGGGGGTGGGGGGGTGGGGGGGGTCTGAATTGAGCGATCAATTATTAGACCCGGACGTCCCAACACTTGCTTCGCAAGACAAACTCAAGGTATCCCCTAAAGGGCTACCTTTCGTGATTAGCTTATTCCACAATAGTCTACAATATGCAACCATGGTTCCTTGCCCGGCGCAGATTGCTTTGTTCCATTCCGCCCGCAGTCGACATCCAGTTTTGGCCTGATCGTTGCGTCGAATTTTGGACAGATGCATCAGTACTTTGGGCCAACCGCTTTTGGCTTACCATAGCTACTTTTACGGTTGTGAACGATGATTTACAAGTCTGCAAGAAAGGTGTGGTGAACTATCCTTCGTTGTCGTCGTATGTTGCTGAACTTTGGAGCCTGTTGCAGCCGTGCTTGCTTACCCCATTTCGGGTTCATATTTACTGTGACAACCTTACAGTGGTTGAACATGCCAGCAAACTGTTTCAATGTGGGGAAGCTGACCCATCATGGATGTGTCAAGAATGGTGGAGCTGCCTCTCCTCCTTGACTCAGACGAGAAGGTTGCTTCATCCCTGTCCTTTCCAAGCTACCTGGATTCCAGCTCACTGTTTCGAGCACCTGCCCATTGCCAACATTACACCGGTAATGGCAGCCAGCAAGCAAACCACTGTTCGAGATATTGAGCGTAACAGGTTAGCTGACCTTACTGCAAAGGAATTTGCGTCGGCCTTGTCTTCGGTTCATCCGCAGCTACAACATGAGGCAGACCCTGGTGCCCTTCGGCACCAGCAATGGCTTGCCAAGCTCCACGAATTGCTGCCGACTGCACTGCCAATCCAGGATGTGAGTCGGCCGGGGCCTGAAGTTGATTTTCATTTCGAGCATTACCGGACGCTGTTCCCGCAGTGGGCTTGGGATGCGGATATACATACAAGTGGAAACCCAAAATACCAGTTGCCTTTCCGAAGCCTAAAGCATGGGATGGATCTGCAGACGAGTGGGAGACAACCTGCACCTTCCTCCGCAGTCTTCGATGGTGTGTCAAAGAGGATGAGGTTACATCACTGTGTGAACTGACAGCGCTGTTCCATTTCTGTGGCTACAAATTTGACAGGCATGGCCACGATGTACTTGGATTACCATAAGAAGATCCGACGTGCCATTGTTTTGCTTTCCCGCTCGGATGCTGCCCAAGTGGTGCCAGGGTCTATTTCTGCCCCTTTGGCCAAAGCTGCTGGTCGTACTATGCCACAGGGGTCGATCATTGGAGCCTCTGTTTTTGCTGGCAATGATGCACTGGTTCACCTCGCCCGAATTTTCGAATGTGGAGCCGGCCGAACGCTGGCGTCCTGGGATGTTTCTTTGCTGTAGGTCGCTCACCTGCATGTTGCATTTTGCTCCATGGGGTTTCATGTTTGTACATAGGTCTGTGAGCCTAGTACACCACCGGGCTCGTCTCTCGAGTTTGATCCTGGTGCGCGTGGTGATATCAACTCACAAACTCACCGCTGGAGGTTGAGCGCTCGTTGGGCAATGATACGCGTTGGGACCTTAGAACACCAAGCTCCCTCATAATTAGTCTAGTTGTATGGAAAATCTTCCAATGCCTCCTCCACGCTGGTGGGGAATCCTTGGGCTCTCCACGGCAGGGGCACCCTGTCCTTTCGCCATCTGAACATCTCTGAAATCTGTTCTCAGCCTTTCGCTTCCATTCTCTCCTTTCAATGGTTCCTGCTCGAGGAGCTGTAGCAACCGGTCCACCAAATGGTTGAACTCTCCGGCGCAGATCGCACAAACGCAGATCGCTTCAGCAAGTCTTCCTGAAAGGTCGCCGTCTGCTCCTTCCAGGTCTGGTAGATGCCTTGGCGGCGAGATCTTTCGTGCAAAAGGCATGGAATCTTGGAAGCACAACCTGTTAATGTTTCTTAGTGAGCCTAACTCAACTAATTACAGTATACATAATTATGCCATATAGATCTGTCATTGTCCATTGCCTCACTAGCACGTACTAGTAGGAGAGTATAGTGTAGTACAGTGTTGTCCATTGCGCATTTGGGCTTCCAACTGGGCCTTCCGCTTCGTTGTGTGCCCAACACGGCTTCCACGCATGGGTTTCCGATAAAACCAGAGTGTTTCGCAGATTTGGGCTGGTCATCTTTAACAAAAAATCACTTTTGGACGAAAACACGCGGCGGAGGCGGAGGGTCTCGAACACGGACTTGTGATACCTCCGTTCCTCCTCGGACACCGCTTCCGCCTTCATCACGGTGTTGGCCTTTTCCCTCAACAGTGGGACGATGCAGTGCTGGGTGTAGCTGCTCAACGCATCGCGGCCGAGCTGTTTGAAGACCTGCCGTCTGAAGAAGGGTCCCAAACATGCAACAGTGCAGGACATGGTCCAAAACGGCCCAGAAAGGGAGGCGCTGACGCCAGTGACACATCAATGGCATGGTTAAGTTTAAGACTGTGACACTGCTACTGACCAAGAAGTTCACTGGCGTTCACTGGTTGCTTGGTTTGTGTTGTTGCCCTGCTTGGGGTTTATCCGAGTTTATCCCTATGCATTGGTTCAGAGTGGGATAGCCATGAATAGCCTATTTCAGCCATCCCTCACCTCACGAAGCACGGAACCAGTGAACAGCAATATATGGAGACCCCTCCACAAGAACAAAGCAGGTCATAGTCAGTCCGGGACCCAACATTTGCCAAAGGTCATGAAATCACACACCATCGGAAGGCAATCCAAAGAAATCCTATGGACTTGAAACATCTTGAAACGCAAGGCTCCAAACTGATTCCCGTATGACACTCTGGACAGCATATCTTGAGGGCTTGCCATAATTTAATTTATATGATATTATAGTTTATTTGCATTATGCCAACCTATGACTCGAGAACAAGTCATTGATGCTCCTTCCATATTCAAAATCATTCAACATCTAGTTGCCACACCCCTTCCATCCGCCGAGACACGTGATTCATCCTTGATCCCAGCCTTTGAAACTCCGTCCAGCGCTCCCTCCCAGCGTCACAGCCATGCGGGACAAACGCCTTGTCGCTTAAGTCGCTTGTGGCTTGGAACCTCGTGAGCAATTCTCAGGAGTCACAAAGGAAAGGTTGAGCTATGTCCGCTTACAACTCTTAATGCAAAGGGTCCCCAAACCACACAGTCTTCATGACATTGATGGTTGTTGGACTATCCAGATGGGGGGTTGCTTCAGGGTGCCATGTTAATGTTGCCCGTGTGTTCATCATTCTGCCATGCAACACCGTCTAGTTTCGATTCTGTGCTGTGAGACGCAAACGCCCAACGCATCGGAAGTGCGCAGCAGGGCCCTGCGAAGGGACAACATGTCCTCTACAAATACGGGATGTCCACTTCCATGTTGGCGAGTCAGAGTGTAAACATTCTCTAACAAATTTCCGTCCTCAAACCTGCCCAATCCGGACCTACAGCATCAAACCGTGCGCAAGACCTTGCACGATTCTTAACATGTCTGACCCTTCGGTTTGCCAACGGATGTGTTTCTCGTTGAACGGGAACCCCCATCCACTGTAGAAATGGAATGGATGTCGTGCCATCCATGGCACCTTTCGTTCGCACATCAGGGCCCACGGCACATGGTTTTGTAAAATTTGGACGCACACAGCAAAACACAAACTTATATACTAATTAAGTTATCGCCAAAGCTCAAGGACCTGAAAGAAGTCCCAAAGTGAAGACCTACTGAACGCATCTGAACGCCCCGAAGAACATGCCCTCAGCTACGGGAAGAACATGCCCGGTTCAATTCCAAATGCATTATGAACTTTGTCGCTTTGTGATGTCTCAAAAGCATGGGTTTTCCATGCTGGAGCAAAGATACTTTGGGACATGATCTTCCATGAACCAAGGTCCACACTCCAGCGTTGGGCTCGGGGGATGTGCCGCAACGGCCCCATTCAGTCTAGATGCCAACCAACCGCAAGGCACACAATCAAAAGAATGCTTGGTTATTCTTCGCCTGGTGAACCACCAGCCAGGCTAAGGTCTTCGGCTGCGCCGGCACGGAACGGCATGACCGCCCTCGGCAGCCGAGGCCTTTTTTGCTCCGCTTGTGTCATGCGAGTTCGCACCGCTCCTCGCGCGCGGAGCGGAGGAGGCCACGGTGAAGTGGGAGGAGGCCTCGGCGTCGCGGGCCTCAGTGCCGCTTCGGTGGCTTTGTGATTTAAGGGATGGGTCAGGAAGCTACTTGCCACAGCCACAGCCACACACATCTGCAGGCACTGGGGGATTGAATTGATATATAGGTACGGTATGTTTCAGATGTTATTTTGCCAACACGAGTCATGTTGACTCCTTTGACGATCCTGGTTCTGCCGGACCAATCACAATCACCTAAAGAGCACCTAGGATAAATTGCAACGTGTTAAACATAAAGAATATAATATATTTGCGATCTTCTCACTTCATGTGCAGTATATAAATTATCCCAAATCGTTTGGCTAAATCAGTGCAGTTCCAAGCTCTTCAGCATGCTTCACAGTTCCATGTTACCCTTGGTAGTCTCTTGAGTATTCAGTCCAGTCATGGATATGATGCGGCCGTCTTCTGCATCTGGCAAGTGTGCTGCATATTTGACTTGCGCCCTTCCTCTTCAAATCCTAAAATGGAACATATTCCAACCTCAAGAACTCTCGGATAGCCGTCTATCCATTGGGCTATCACTCTCCGACAGCTGACTGCCCACTGTGCCTTTGATTCAAGTCGTTGAAGGCGTGTAGGCCGCATAGGCCAACTTTGCCGCCTTGTGCTGCAGACAAAACACCGGTTTGAATCAACGGCTGAGCTGGTTGGGTATGGCAGAGTTGGTCCAGCCTAAGAAGTTTCACGAGAGAAGGGTATCAGAAATTTGTGATTGTGGAGCCTTCATATGCGCTTTCCAAGTCTGAAATTGGATTCAAGGTTGCCATATATATTGAATTTAAACGATTGGACACTTAAAACGCATATTGACTGAAGTTGTAATGTTTGAGGTGTTCAAAGTCATGGTGATGGAACTTCTTAAAATCACAAGGAGTGATGGACCGTGCAAATTCCAATCAACACGAACATAGGGACACAAGTGACACAAACAAAGTCCTATTCTACGATTCTACAACTCTTCATCCTTCTGAGATGTTTCTTCTGTGATCTGCCATCTGCAGAAATTTCTTTTGTCAGAATGTCAGAAGCTCACTAAGAGACACCAGTAACACTGTGAGATTAGGGGTCCAGTCCCTTTTATGTGGTCCAAAAAAGGCATGCGCAAACAGATGCACCACCTTCATATGTGTAAACAAATTTGAATTATACATCAATGGAGGTACATGTCGCCAAAAAAACACATATTGCCGCCCAGGGAGGTATCAGAATTTTCTGACGGTCATCAGAATTTTCTGATGATCATCAGAACATTCTGGCGATCATAAGAATCTTCTGACGATCATCAGAATTTTCTGACGATTATCTGAATTTTCTGACGATCATCAGATGTTGTTTGATGATCATCAGAATTTTCTGACGATCATCAGAATTTTTCAACATATTCCCAGATTCATCATAATAGTCTGAGCACCCATAAGCGTAAAAACACAATCTTGTTAAAGTAAGGTGTTTCATGAACGCATATTGGCTTACCCAACTATCAATATATATATATATATATGCTGTGACGCTTCCAGAGCTATTTCGCATGCCCTCACGAAACTCCATAGTCCAGCCCCTGGCTTCTCTAAGATACCGCGGACCGTTGACTGCTGATTGTGACCACCACCCATTGACAGTCCGGCATCTTTGATTTGCGCGTGAGTAATTAAGGTGCAACATGTGTGTGTGTGTGTCCACCCCTGGACAAAGGGTTTTCCACCACCACTCCTTACAGGCAGGGGGCAGCAGGGAATCCACAGTTCTGCTGCCAACGAAGACAGCTGTGGACATTCCGTGAAGCAGATTGGGACGCCAATCTGTGTACCTGCCTTGATTGCAAGCTGTGACACCAATTTTCCTCTGGTTTGTTTTCATGGTCCTTGCATGATACCTCCCCCTAAACCCTTTCTTGCAGCCGCGTTGTCTTGCAGCTGAGCCGCGCCGATCGATCGCTCTGCAGACTTGACCAACAACTTGTTGAAACACCTACAATTGTCTCGGACTTTCCGCCATGCTGTTCCACCGCCTTTCTTCCCAACGTGGTAACTGAGTTCACTGAATACAAGTGTCAGAGTGTGTTTCGCTCAGCCGTCCCACTCGGGTGCTGAGTGTGATCCCCGTCACAGGGGCGCCGTTTTTTACATGGGAAAGCAACCACCCCAAAGCACCACCGCTCATTGGACCCTCACTGGCAGTCACCGACACCCTCACTGAATCAACCGATACACTGGCCGCCGGGCCCAAAAACGGTTCCTTTCGAATACATCAGATTTCGGATCTTTCATGCTTGTTTTCTCCACATGTTGCAATCTTACATTAATGCCGTGACCTTTTCATCAGCAGAACTCAAGCTTGTGCATTGGAGTTCTCCAATCTAATTCGAGATGCATGATCACACTTGAAAACAAGCTCACATCCAGCACCACCTTACAACACACTCCCCGTCAACACGAGCGATGAGATTTTCAACAACACTATGACAGTACAACTCGGCACTTTTCCGCCGCATCCTTGCTGCTGCGCCGCGCCGTGCCATAGCGCCGACTACGATATGCATTTTCCATGGCCATATGCTCACGCTACACCACCACCATTACCTACCACACAACCTCAACCCACATGGCCGCTGCCACAGCCGCCAACTGCACCCACCTTCCCCTCGCCACAACCGCCGGCATTCCCCCACCCACAACCACAACCATTTCAAGCACCACCTACTATGCCCAGTCCAACCGCCACTGCACTAACCTACGGCACTCCTTCCACCTGGACGTTTGTGCAACCATCTCAACTGCCACCGCAACCCACACACCCAACTCCAGTGTTTCCATCCGCAGCACCTTCCCCTTCATACATGTTGCCACAACTACATCCCACATCACCTACTGAACCTACCCCCACTACACAGACACACAACAAGCAGCAGTTGCCCATCATCCATCCACAGACCCACAATGCGCCATCCCCCAGGAGTTTGGCAACCTTACTCAGTCTTTCCCCCAGTCACACAGCCTCCACCCCAACCGTTGCCTCCGCCGCCCCCTCCACAAGCCATCGGCGCCCCACCACCAGTTCAACCCTCACTCCCACAACAGGCGCCATCGGACCTCACACCACTGGTCCAACACGTCACCACAACAGCCACGGACCCTTCAATACTGGTCCAAAACGTGACCCCTCCAGCCACTGGCTCCCAACCTTCCAAATCACCATCCATTGCATCCGCACCACCAGCTCCTGTGCCTTCACTACTTGCAACAGACAAGCCAGACAGCACCGCCTCCCCGGCACCACCACCACCTTCCCCACAGCCACACCACAGCAGTCGCCGCCACCACCACAAGAGCCGGCGCAAGTCCGATCATCACCACCGAGGACGCCACCACCACCGCCGCCGGCATCGACATCACCGCCACTCAAAGCACCACAGCACAACCCGGCGACGCCGTTCACCCTCAACATCCACTTACTCATACAGCCTTACACCATCCCGCAGCCGCTCACCACAAACCATCGACTTACGCCCCAACACTGAACACACCAACACCGACCCCTCTCAATATCCCACCACAGCAGTCCTTCGTCGCCCAATCAACCGTTGGCGACCTCCACCCAACTTTCACGCTTTTTCACCTGCAGACCAACTCCTAGAATGGTTCGAATTCCACGCCAACCAACTCGACAACCCCAACCGACCACAGCACCAGTACATTGCCAATCTCCTCACCGACTGCAACATCACCTACAAGGAGATCACCGATTTCCGGCAATATACCCACGCCAAGTGGAACGACACCACTCGCCAATATGACCAATTCCAATACTACGCCATCTCACTTCCTTTCCTCAACACAAAGGCCACCACACCTGAACCACCCGCGGTTTCCCGAGCCACTTCAACCCACCGGGAAGTCGCCCACATCAACGCCGGCCACACAGGCCCGGTCGGCAACATTACCAACATTCTACGCCAAGGTCGATTTTTACCCAGCACACTTCACTTTGCCAACTACCCTGGCTTTTTTGCCCAGGGTGTCCGCATCACCCACAATCAACCCCATGATCAGAGCGAATTTGCTCGCATCATCCACAACACCTGGCAACTCCACAAGAACTCCCACTCCCTCATCATCACACTCCTTGCTTGGGGTGCCGCATGGTGCCGCCACAAAATACACCTCCGGAGGGGAGGAACATGCCATGAACCTCCTCAACGATTACCACGGCGCCGTCTTCCACCAGAAGGGCCGCTGCTGGGTGATCCACCCGGACCACGCCATCGTCAAAGGACTGGCCTGGTCCACTAACTCCACTCCACCCGACATGTAACACCACCGTCCAACACCTCCACACTACTACCACCTCTACCTCCACCTTTTGTCTCACACCACCACATAAACCTTCGCCTATAGCAGCAAAAAGCCCTTTACAGCGGTCATGCGAATTTTGCGCTTTCAACTTTTCAAGCTCTGGGGGTTTCGTTTTGCAGAATCTCTTTCCGAATTTTCACTTGCTGTTTGGATGAAGTTTTCTTCACATGTTGGAGTTTTCTGCACTTGATCTTCCAGTCGGACTTGCATTTTTCGCACAACGCCCGCGGGAATTTGATGCTCGTTTAATTCATATGCACGGCCCCGTGATGACGTGCTCCTGCTGACTAGCTGCCGTCCTGCTGCCTTGGCGCGCTGCCGCAGCAACCTGTGACGACCCTGTGTGACTGTACATCCCTCTATCTCCAAGTCATGAGCAGCACACTGACACCTCCACACAATGACACCCAAACTCTCCTACATCAGACCGCTGTGGTACTTTCGCAGGTCCAAAACTTGCTCAGACAAGCAACAGATATTGTAGCACACCTTCACACTCACTTTCTCCACCACATCCACCAAGCGGATCCCACTTTCCGCCAACATTTTCAGCCACTACCAACTCCGCCAACTCACCCTATACGTTTACCGTCCACCACCTCCTCCTGTGATTCAGCACCATCTCGACCACCCATCCGCTTACCAGCGCCACTCTCAAAAGACTCCGACGACACACCATCAACAGCCCCAGCTCCACAACCCGCTACAACACGCAAGCGTAAGCAACCACTACCACCACTACCGAACCAGCAAGCAGACTGGGACGCATGGGACGGCGACGCTGATTGCCGCCTGGTTGAACTCAAAGGGAACCCTCGACTCCGTCCCAACTGGGTTTCTGTTGCTCGCCGAGTGGGTTTCTCCGTCGAGCAATGCCAAGCCCGATGTCAAGAACTCAAAGACATGCAACATCTACAAGACCAGCAACTCTCTTCCACGCCACTACAAATAGAACCACCACGACAAGTACCTTCCCTCTCACCAACACCCACCTCACCAGCAGTTTCCCCACCACCACATTCACAACCGGATTTCTCCCCTTCTCCCAAGACAACACCACCGACTTCACCACATCGATCACCTCCAGCTGCTGTGCTGCTGCCGCCGGCTGCTGAGCGAGCGCCTAGTGAGAACAGTCATCCGGAGAAATCTCCACACACGCCTGTTGGCAGTTATTTCATATGATCTGTTTCACCCCGCTTTCTCTCCGGCGTGCCGCAGGACAAATCCTTTGACATGCAGTGACAAG